TTTCTGATAACATGGAAAAATCTTTTATACAAAACTTGTATTATATGGAGGGGGACATAATGTGATGCAAATATTTTTCAAGTGGGTGGAGGCGTACGGGAGCTTTCATGATCATCTCTATTTCTTTTAAGTGGAATGCTATACTTTTGTTATCGCTGTGTGATAGCCGCTGTTGTAGCGATTTCGGTATGTTATCTTTAGGGGTCATTCCAGGTCAAATATGCTGAGCGCGTGTGTGTGTGTGTGTGTGTACATATAAATTTATTACACAAGATGGAGCACGTAAACGAGTACTAAATACATTCGCTGTTGTATGTGCTTCACCCAGTATAATAAATTTATATTCATGATAATAAATGTTTTTTTTTTTCTGTATCTCTAAGAAATCTTACAATTTGTCCAGTAAGGACATCGGGTAAACAGTGTTCAGCGCTTATATGTATCACGTAGATGCATTTCTCAGTAGAAAGCATCTGTACAGGGTTCGTGATAAGAAATAGATGGTAAATAAAAAATCAGAAAGTAAAAGTAATAATATTATCAAGAATAAAATTACAGGATAATCGTAAGAATACTTGAATCTTCGTAAAAATTCGTGTAATTTCTATTAATTAGGCTTATTCTAGTAATTAGACTGCATATTTGTAATATTTCATTTTTTAAATTAAACAGTAGCCATGCGGCTGTATGCAGATATGGATTCTTAGTGTATGTGCGACCTTGTGTAACATATTGACTGCATTAAATGAGATGAAATATTTATAAAAGGTTAGGTGATATTTATGATGCGAAGGTATTCACGTGTTCACGATAATCAAGTTAAAATATTACAATTATTTTTGTGCCATCGAAGACATCAACATAAAATTCGATTAAGAAATTTGTTGCTTTAAATCAATTTAAATAAAGTTAAAAACAAATTACGCGAACAGTACAAAACTTATATTTGTAGCGAAACGAAAGTAAAACTGTATTATTAAGTTCATGTTGAACATGTGAACAACTATAGTAATTATCGTGTTACCGGCCACGTGATCCTTCGGTACATGCACACATAAACTCAGTAAGCAGTTCAACGCTCGTTATTACGTTCATTAAGACGTCAACTTGGTTGGTTGACGTCTTACATACCCGTAAGTAGATCTTATCGATGTCCCTTTATTTATCGAAGAAATTGATCGCTAGTAAGACGGAAACGATGATAAACAGCGAAGAAATGTGACACTGCCTTCTACGTAATAAAATTGCTAAACTTAATGAAAATACTAAAGAAGTAAAAGTGGGCAGAAAAGATTACTAAATGTGAATGACTTAATCAACGTAATCAAGTGACTAAAAAAGCTAAACGTCTGAGATACTGATTGACAATAGGGAATTTACTATAAAAATCATTTTTTCTTATTTTCAGTCAGCTAAGTACACTGCTGTTCATAAATATTAAGACACTTTTTGTGTTCGTATAAAAAATGTTTTAAATTACATTTGTTCGCCAAAATTAGTGTAGGGGATTTATGTGAGGAGGGATAGTAAACTCGACGGACTTTGTTCTATGCTACATAATATTTATTAATACTTTATATCGCTAGGTGCTACGCTAAGGATGTCGCTCAATCAATCGCTGGAGGTGCTACGCTAAGGATGTCGCTCGATCAATCGCTGGATTCATACTGCCTTTCGCTCCCTCGCATTCGCCCTAATGTCATCTTGCATACATGCACACTTTTCAATAGAAGAAAACACACACGCACTCACGCACTCCTCGCCTGATTACTAAAACTAAACATTCGTTCAATATCTTTCGCGCTATCCCAAACACTCGACCTGGCACACCGGTCCTTACCGCGCCGGTCATAGGCCCTCACGCATTCACACAGACAACGCATTCATACAAACAACGCACTCACGCTCGGTCATCCCTACATTAGTATCATAATATATCAATAAAAATATACAGGGTGTTGACGCTATTAGTTTCCAGCGTTTTTCTTTTAAGTGGTAGATTTATAAAAAAAATGAAAGAGAACAAAGTTTCATTAGCTTTTTATATGCAATACGATGGTTTGAATAAATTTTTAAAATTTTCAACAATTTTCGCGTAATGACGATACCACGAATTTTCCTGAATTGATAGCTGTAATTCTTTTTATACTATTATATATGAAAGGGGTTGCCGGGACGAGTTTAACGACCCTACAACAAAACTCATTTTCAAACTCGATTTCGTGACGAAGTTTGGTGCGGCATAATCAATAACACTATTAGGATCTCATTTTTCTTGACGATAACTTAAGGGGGTATTCTAGTCTAGAGTGTCATTTTTTATTCCTCATTAGGGATTTTTTTGTAAGGAAAGTATAAGTTTCTCAGTATCGGCATTTTGCATACATATTTATTCATGTCTTAAGAAAGTTCACAATTTTTTTCAAATGAAAATTATCAAAACTGTCTGAATTATGTATCATTCAATGCGGTCCCTTTAAAAAAATGTGTCCTACTGGCTGACACGATTCCGCCCATTCTGTTTATCCCAAATGAAAAAACCAAAAGGATTCTTGATTAGACGAATGTGATTATGGTGTGAACCAGAATGAGAAAAAAATAGTGAAAATTTACAAAATGGCGGCACTTTGAATTTTGTGTATCGATTTCCTCCACTTTTTTTCGTCTTTCAGAGGCTCTAAAAATCAGAAAAATGTATATTTTGGCATAATTCTGGTTCAAACGATAACCGCACATCCACTGAAGGTGCATGTAAAATTTCGAGTCAATCGGACAACTAGAACTTGAGATATCATCTTAGCCATTTAGAGAAACATGGTTTCGAGAAAAACGCGTTTAAAGTATCTCATACCAGTTACACGAGAATGGTATACTCACGACTACGGGCTACATGACGTCTTCTTCAATTTTACGAATTCGGAAAAATCCTTCGACAATTATACTTCTGCAAATGTCTACTTTGAGAAAATGTAAAAAAGAAAAATCGATTTTTTTGAAAACTCTAGACTAGAGTACCCCCTTAAATACAAATTCTAGACTGAATCATTCTTTCCGGGATATCGATAATTTTCTACCGACTGTTTTCGTTTGTTTTACATTCAACAAGTGTCCTAATACTTACGAACGAAGTGTATGAACATGCGCCACTCTGCACTCCCTAAATATTTACGCATACTGCATTGTACATCTGATTATGCGATCTATACGAGCTCAGCAGAGTACGTAAACGTGCATACTCCCCTACATCGGACTAAACGCTGGTGTACGCAATAGGTATCGCAGTGGGCGGAGGAATGAACTTTCTCGCGCATAACTTATGCAAATGAACCGGGCATTGTGGACGGTTACTTAATACATTTACGAATATTACTCATAATGCTGCTCGGTTGATCGTGTCGCGTGGGTTCACAGACCGAAACCGCGCTGGCGCCTCTCAAACTCCTCTGCAAATCTGAACTCGTGATCGATTCTAACAGGGAAAATTGTTTAAATGGCATTTATCGATGTTTGTGAATTTTTTTGCACGATGCTGTTCGCAGCAAAATATTCGACACATCTTTTTTTTTTTTTTTTTTTTGCAAAATTTGTCTGTATTTAGGGGGTGACAATGATCTTCAGAGTTGGGGATGAACATCGAACTACAGCGCTCGCGAAAAACGAAATCACATAAATCTGAAATTTACATGGATTTTTTGGGTATTGGAAGGAAAAAAATGATTAAAATTTGGTTAAAGAAGGTCTTATTTATTAACCCTTATGTCAATAATCGGGTGCCCGCGTACACTTTTGCACTTTCTCACAAAAAATATTTTATCTTCCCGGTAAAAGATTTTATTTCACACATTTCCTGTCCGTGTTTGCTTTAAGTTTAGAATTTTGTTATCAGAAAACCACTAAAAGTAGACGACAATTGTGGTTATTGACATAAGGGTTAAAAACGGCCATTTTTCCCTCAGAGTAGCCCGAAAGACATGTGATTTCCAGATTTATGCAACTCAATTATATCCGCGTTATCTGAGCGTCGTTCGCAGAAAGTGTGCTTCGAAGGGTCTCGTGAATAGCGAGGACGCGTCGTCCTGCCGATCCCTGTCCACCCCTACGCGAACAGGCCCAGGGAAAGGCCCAAAGGGGCGTGTCGCCCCCACCGAGCGCGCTGGGCCTGGCTCAAGATGCTCGCTTCACCGTCTTCGGGGCGGATTTTCTCACATTTCAATTTGATAATAGGAATCAGAAACACTGCAAGAAGTCCTCTTATTTACACTCTTGTTTATAAGTATAAAAACACTTACCGAATACGAAGCGAGCGTAAACAGTCGTTACAAAATTATTCAGCCTGGAGTGCCGTAATATAACGAGTACATATATTTCTGCTGATACATGGTACTAAATCTGACGAAGAGATGTATGTAATTTAACCCTTTAACTACAGACCACTCATCTCACAGACGAGTTCGAGGTTTTAAAGCTTAATGCGTTCGACTAGTTTCAAGTGACAGCAGATGATATGCTATTTCCATTGAAAAAAAAAAAAGAACCTGTTATAATCCCTTTACTTATTTTGTAATCATTTATTTCTTTAATATTTTCTTTAGTCTTTGTTCTCAAAAACAACCTTCTCGTGCGAGCGTGCCATAAACCCGGTCAACGAAGACCCCATGCGTTCTGTACCTGCGCGACGGAACACTTTGCTTTCTATGCGAACGTTCAACAAGTGCCCGAATAGCTCGATCTTCTCGTGCGAGCGTGCCATAAACCCGGTCAACGAAGACCCCATGCGTTTCGTACCTGCGCGACGGAACACTTTGCTTTCTATGCGAACGTTCAACAAGTGCCCGAATAGCTCGAGACATTTCCGTTTGCAGTTTTGCCAGCGGAAATTCCGAAATGTGAAAACGAATCACGGATAAATATATGGAAAATGACAAGCGACTATTGTTTTCTGTTCCAGATGTCAACTTAACAAGCGACTTAACGTAGGTTGCAATGTTGCTGTCATCGCTATGAACGAGAGCCGGTGCTACACTGATTCGCCCGTGCTCACTGAACATCAGCCGTTCAACCGGAATGGAAAGGCACTCAGGTGTGATTATCGTAAATGCAGGCCATACTATCGTATAATATTACGGGTTCGCGTTTAATTGCTCAGGACAAAGAGGGCGTGGAAAGGGACTGCACGTTACGCATTGATTTATCGCTCGTAATTAAAGAGTGAGGAATCAGAAAGACTCTGCACGTCCTAGCTAGTGCGATTGATCAATTTCGAGACGTATTTATTCGTCGTTTCTTCTCCTTTTTTTTTTTCTGGTTTTACCTAGCTCAACACTTCGTCAACAGATCCTTCGATGCTTTTGTCGTACTTTATCTGAAAATCGCTACTCAAAGCGACGATACAATTGCGAAGTGACGACAAACTTTCACGCGCTGATTCTTCCTCGAGGCTTCCTACTCGTCATCAGAGAGCTAATGCTCTGTTGGCACATTCGAACGCGTTCGAGATTACTTTGTGTACCGATTGTAAATTGCTTTATCATGCAGCTACCACGTAACACGCGGTGAAGCCTCAATCGGTATAAATTAGGCTATGAGAATCAAGCTAAATATGCTCTTTGTACGGTAAAATATTTATAGCTCTTAATGCAAAGTAGTTTTGTATCTGAAATAGAGAAGAAGAAAATTTGTCATGGTTTCATAATTCGTAATTAACAGTTTTGTATCTCAAATATAATACCTGCTTTGCATAAGACGAAGATTAGTGTTATTTTAAATTTGTCGTGGTTTCATAATTCACGATTAAATGTTTAACACGTTTGCAACCATTGATAATCTGATTCTCTCGCGTTACTTCATTTGAAAAGCATATCTGTATACAGGACGAACGTGATCACCTTAAATTATTCTGTAGCTAGTGGACCGGTCGAAATTTCTTTGCGTCGCGTAATGCGGTTCTAAAAGGCTTTTAAGACGATCATGGTACATTTTTTTCACAGTTTTCGAGGTCACCTTCAATTTTTTATAGGTAAACCTGTAATCTCTTTGCGTCCACCTTTCAGCGATGTTGCGACGAGTTCGGCAAGCATCGTAAAGTCACGTTTTCTCCATCTGAATGAAATAAATTGAAAAAAAGTACCCTGAGAATAAAAAAAAGTGCAGATGTCGTAGAAAGAACTGGGCAATTATTTATTTGCTGTCTACTCGCGATGGTTATACCTATTACGAAAAATATGTGCAACGTTAGAGAATATGCAACAGAAGAAGCATAACAAAAAATCGTCAAAGCTACTTGCCACATATGAGCTGTGTATTTTGAAAATTGGATAATTTTGATAGCGGTGTAAGTCCATTTGTGGTCACAAAGTCCCAGTGATTCTTCAAGCAATTCCGATATATTTCATATACCTTCAAAAGTTTCAATATTTGTCACCACAGAGAACATAAAGCGAGACTACTGGTGATCGTTAATATTTTTCAGTCGATTAAAACGCGAACCTTTAAATATCTCAATATTTAGAAAAATTGACTTACACCACTGTCGAAATAACTTTGACTCACAAATTCCATAAGTGTGTATGAAAATATTTTTTATAAAGATTGTAACATTTATTAGATATTCAAAGATATGCAAAAGTGTCAGTTCAAATGATACATTTAGTGGAGAAAGAGGAAAAAGAATTTGCGACTTGATTTTAGGTTGAATTGACCCAATTTCTGTACAAGAATTAATCCTTGTACCTTTGCGTCCTTAAACCTGCTCTCTTTTTTCCATTTTCGGGTTTTCTATTCGTCTTCTAGCTATACTATACTTACATATAATTAATATCCTACAGTATACCTGCATGAATCTACACGACTATGATTCGACAGCTACATAACTCAAAGAAAATACGTGAGATGATTGTTCATTAAACATAGACGGCTGAAAAGTCGGAACTGTAATCAGACAGTTTGCTTATTTCATGGTTTTAAACAAATTGCAACTTTGCACCGTGGAATTGTCACGTGTTAGGTTACACAGGGAGAAAAGGTAGCTGTTCGAATCATTATCTGTACAGCACGTTAAAGAGCGCTGATTTCAGGGGATCGAAGAAGAGTGTGCTGTTTTATACGACCGACTGTGGCGACGAGAAGGAAGATCTGGGACTTAAGCTTCAGCAGCGATCGGTTTCTTTGGTAAGTTTCACGAACTCGAGGCATCGGTACATAAAAAAATCTTGCATTGAAATATTTGAGGTGGGTGAGGAACGCCTTTGCACTGTGTTCACCTCAATTTATTAAAATCTAAATGCGATGGCCGGCGTACAATTCGCCCGGGAAATACAATTGTTTCATTCGCTAAGTGTCCCGGCGGTAGCGGTTCGATGTGTAGGCGTCCTGGGTTTTTATATTGTTAGGACAGGGAGACAGGAGTAGCGATAGATAAAGATAGAAGTGGAGGAAGTGGTGGAAACGGAACGTCCTCCTGCGAACCTGGATGCCACATGTGCGCTTCTTAGGCTACTCGAGGACGAAGGTAAGTCTTAACCCGGGGAGAGACAAAAGAACGGAAGGAGTTGGAAAAGAGCAAGTTCGCGTGGAAGAATAGAACAAGATTCGGTAAGGGCTTGCTGGCAGTGACGTACCCGCCACATATTTATATTTATACACATAATGTGACCGCTGTGAACAAATAGTTTGAATCACACTTACAGTAGTATACGTTGATTAAAAAATTATAGCTACAAAATCAACAGTTACAACATATTTATATGCAAAAGATTTTAAACAGACGCTTCTAATGTTAAATCTGAAAGTGTTTGCGATTGCAATAAAAGAACCATAAAGACCGTATACACTCCTGTTTGTAAGAATTAGGACATTTCTCAAATTTGAATTTTTGAACAGTCCTTGCAAAATTATTAACCCCTTAACTTGCACGCTCGAGTTAATTCGAGCGCGCTAAACAGGCCAAACTGTGCACACTCGAGATAATTCGAGCGGCGTTGTATTTGATGCTGCTATAATTTTTCACACTCGAATATATTCGAGAATTGAAAATAACAATGTGAAAGCTAAGAAAAAGAATCGTGTTATTGATATTTATCATTTACATAGGATTGTAAGCTATAATACTTATTTATTCGAAAATAAAATATAGCCTTTTTCCATGGAACAAAAGCGCAGTATATCGAAATTGTCCACTAAAAGAAAAGTTGAATCAGGAGTGATAACAAATGGAAACCTTTTTTTTATTTTTTTGCCAAAACAATGTTCTAAAGTTTGTTTTTTTTACATTAAAAAAATTGATTTTTTTTGGCCGGTTTTTTTCAAAAAAACTGTGCGTTAAGGGGTTAAGATCCAAAAGAAATTATTCAGTTTGGAATCTTTTAGTATAAGGAGCACATATATTTTTTACTCTTATTATATCCATTCATACTTCATTCGTAAGTTCTGAAAAAAGGCTTTTGCTCCTTTCGTTGCACTTGCTTCCCCAAGTTTCCCAAATTGGCATTCTCTGGACAAGTGTATCAGAAGTCGCATTTTCCTCGCACCTATGTAAAAGTAGACAACTGGAAAGATTAAAAGTGGGCGAATTTAAAATCAACTCCGCATTCCATACTAAAACTCGGTAATAAACTCTGTTGATATACTAATGAGTTTAAGATGTCTAGCTGTAGTATTGAGATAACGATATGATACTAACTTTGGCGAAGAAATGTAATTTAAATCACATAACACTTTCTATACGAATATAATAGGTGTCCTAATGCAGTAAAGTCTCGATTATCGAAGGTGATGTGAACCGAGCTTACCTCGGATAATCGAAAACTCTGATAATACAGAAGGGTCGGCGGGTGTTCACAAATCGTGCAATGAAATCATAAAAAAACACTTTGATAATGTATCCATCGACCCTAAGAAAATAAATAAAATCAAAAAATTACATATTTTTTTAGGGTCCATGGATACATTATCAAAATATTTTTTTATAATTTCATTGCACTATTTATGAACACCCATCTTCTGTATTATCAGAGAAATCTTTAAATGAATTTTTTAATAAATAAAATTTTTCCTAAATAAAGTCAAAAAATTACATAGGGTAATTCCGGGAGAGATGGACCGGCGGGAGAGACGGACCAGGCAAGTATTCCCATGTGCAACGCGTCGGTATTCTTTTGTTTTACATTTGTTTTACGGAAAGCGATCGAGTGTTTTTTCTTCCATATTTGGCGAATAATGTACGAAATACTTGCCTGGTCCATCTCTTCCGAAATTACCCTAAGTTCAAAGCACTCCGGACGATACGGAACCTCTGTTAAACAGGACTCGAATAACCGAGACTCCGCTGTACTTACGAACAGCAGTACACGTTTAATTGAACGTTAACTTTTTTCGTTCACCGACTATCTCTATTGTATTCAGATAGTGCATTCACCAAATCACGAACACATTAGACACGGCGTTTGGAGGTAATTCTTCTCACCGTCTCTTTTAGTGTTTTTTCTCCTCTTTGATACTGTAACAACGAAACGAACAGGCAAGAGGCTCGACGATAAGACCTGTTCGATAAAGATCTACAGAAACAAATCGTTCTTCGCAAACGTTACTGGCTAATTCCAGACTAGGAATTAGCGTAGCTAGTATCTCTCGTAGATCGTCTTCCGGATCTCCAGGCTAGTAGAAGCTTCTATCCTAGACAATGATTATACGTTCCTGAACTCGTGGTGCTCTTTCCATGTAAACACACCCACGATCTCCGATGATTAACGAATACGAAGACAACCCGTGACGAATCGACGTTGCTTTTAATCGCTTCAATTAACTACCTTGAAGCAGCATGCTCCGATAATAGAAGATTCCCTCGTGTACCAGTGACAAAGCACCCACCTTCGTCGATAATAACTTGGTATTCTTCGTTCCTTGATATTACGACGTGCGTGTATTCTTTATTTACCTGCTATTATTAGGTTGCTGCGTAAGCTTTTCCGCTAAACAGCTTATAGGTACTTACTTCAAACTGTATATTTTTCAGTATTTTTTGTGACAGTTTTCTGTCTATATGGAAATTGCGTTATGCCTCTTTCATAAAGATCTTCGGATTTATCGTTGAAAAAGTACTTATTGCACTTTTCACAGCTTCCAAATTATTGAAGATTTTTTGTTCTAAACTGTTTTGTGGTCATAGAAAAATGTGAAAATCTGTTGGTACCAGATCCGCGAAAAATCGCAGATTTTTTCATTGCTGTTATTTTCTTTTGCGTTGCTATCGCCGCGTGTGGTCTTGCGAAGGTACAGCA